GGAAGAGTAATTAATTATTTTAACACGTTAAATAAACTTTTAAAAATAATTTTATAATTGATTTGTTTTTGATTTGTTTTTGTTTTTGAGTTTAGTATGTGTAAAACGATTACCAAACTTATCGATAAGCATCATGCGTTGAAATCTGATAAAGATTTTCGTACGTATTCAGGTACTGTATTATCTTATTAATAAATCTGGATAATATTTATCATTATAAATTATCATCGTTTATTATTATTAATAGAAGGTTTAAGTACGGACGAAAATACCTATAAAAAAAAGAAGAGTAAAGATGTAACTACATTAATGAAAAAGTCTAAAGTGTATGTAAAGTTTTATAATTTATATATTTCAAAATTCATGTGTTATTAAAACTCTTGATAATATTAGGCTACAGTCGAAGGGTCGTAGTATTATTAAAAACGGAACATATGTAAGTGCTTTATAATATTCCTTAACAAAGCCAATAGTTCTAGTGCGTGATATACGTACATCTTGCAGGTTGCAGCCAAACAACCTAAACATAAAGATATCGAAGAGAACTGGATTTTGGCCATAGTTGTAGGATATATATCTGAAAGAAAGAGGTAAATCAAATTATGAGATGTAAAAATTTAAAGACTATTTTCATTTTAATAACTCATATAAACAAATCAAGTTATGAGGTTGAAGATGCAGATAGAGATGAGGCCTCAAACAGACCTGGCGAGTAAGTTCCCATGTTAACTTCTTTCATCTTTTTTTTTAAAAAAAAAAATTTTATCACATTTATATATTTTTAATGGCTAACACAGACGATTTTTGGTGCCATCAAAAAACGTTTTAATAATCCCAAAGCCTGGAGAAATGTGGCTACCGGAATTTCCACAATCTGCAACAGTAATAGCATTATATCCGGGTACAACATGCTTTTATAAAGCTGACGTAGTTCTTCCCCCAAGTAAAATATCAATACCTTTAAAATATTTACTTACTTTTGAAGACGATGATAATGCCGAAAGGTACGTTGATGCACATTA